TAAGGAGGCCGCTTGTTCATTTCCTGGCCTCCTGGCAGCTCAGACCCGAAATAATCACACCGAAACTGTATTATTTAAATCACTGCTTGGTCCATTAGCTCTAGTTTTTTAATAGCTAACTCTTAGGTATTAATTGAACCCATTTCTGTTCATCTGTGTATTGCCACAAGGCTGTGGCTTAACAGGTAAAATTATGGGTGTCTGTCTCTGGTGAGGCTAGAGGGCTTCTCTCTGCCTCCTTTCTCCCAGCATTCCATTTAGCTTTCCCTGTCTACCTAAGTTCTGCCCTATGAACAGGCCAAGGAAGTTTATTTATTCACCAATGGTATTCAGAGCATATAGAGGGGAATCCCACATCAGCTGGGCATGTGGCTAAGCACCAATATTAATGATGATAGCAAGTTGTTTCACCTGCCCACACCTCTGTTTCTTCTGCTTTAAAAGGGGGATCTTTCCGAGATAGGGTTGTGCAAAAATTGAATGGACCAAAACTGAAGATGTCTAGAATGCATGGAATGAAGTAGGTCTTAGTGAAAGTTTTCTTTCTGTATTGTGGCACTTTCCCTCCTCCTCTTTATCTTCATCATTGGCATCATCAACATCAGCAGCAGCAGCAGCAGCATCACCAGCAGCAGCATCCTTTCCTTTTCCTTTCTTTTGAATTTCCTCCTTCTTCTCATCATATTCCCCCTTTTCTTCCCTTACTCCTCCTTTCCCTTTTTATCCTCCATCTCTTCTTTTCTCTCTCTCCCTCCCCATGAGAAAACTATAAGAGTCTGAAGCCACCGATGTTTTACTGCCAGTTCTCAGTTTTGTGTAAAAAGTTTTTGTTTTTTGGCAAGAGGAAATCAATGAGAACAAAGTGTAATAACATAGATGTTTAAAAATGATACAATTAAACCCATTACTTTGAAAGCTATCTCAAAAAAAGCAAAAAGTTTCAAAAATGTTTGTGCTAAGGTTAGCACGATTCACGCTTATAAGAACAAATACAAAGATACTACAAGGGTTTGGAGGTGGAGCTACACAGTGAGCTTGCCCGACATGTATGTTTGATCTCTAGAACTCTATAAACAATAAGTAAAATAAAGAAGGAAGAAAGGTCTCTATGAATGCCAAATGTGAAAGAATGAAGTGTTTTATAAATGCATGATGATAAATATGTTACCCATTTATTATTGATTACTCAAAATAACTCCATTATTGTATAGTATTCAAAAGTGATTGACTAAGTATCATATTTAGATTACTTACTTTTCTCTGTTATAATTAGTATAAACACACATTTTAATACCAGAACAAAATGATAGATAAGGATTTCATAATCTTGGAAAGTAAAGAGAAACAGTAACATTTTGATCAGAGAGAGTGTTATGAAAAATATAGAGGTGCAAGTTAATAAGAAAGAAGGAACCTTTAAACCAATTTTGTTGTGGTTCCAATCATGGATGAAGCTATTGTAGGAAATGGACGGAGACGTGACCGTGGTGTAATGATTGGTCTCAGCCATTTACCTGAGCAGCTGTGACCAGCTCCCCTTTCTGAAATGGTTTGTGTCAGGTTTCCAGGACATGCAAACAAGGAACAAATGGGTTCAGAAATAGTCACGTGCTATGCTTTTTATTATAGTGGGTTTTAAATTTTTATTTGTTTTGCCGTGCAGGGGTTCAAGTTGAAGGCTTTGCATGCAAGCAAGGTAGACAAGTGTTACCACTGAGCCATACCCCAACCCATCGCTAGATTTTAAATTGAGCTAATGGTTAGGGTCTATCTTTTTGTTTGTTTGTTTGTTTTCTTTGTTTTAGTATACAGAAAGACAGAATTCTAGAGAATTTGTTTCTCTGTATTTTCAATTTATTTCAACGTTAAAAGTGATAACATTACTTCTTTTCTACCATCTCCCATTTCTGGATCCTCACTAGGATGCAAAGTCACAAGAGCTGCCCAAAAGGCCTTGTTTATTTTGGTCCGCACCTCAATGTTTTCCAAAGCCCCCTCTTTTACCCCCATATCTATTAATAACCCCAACACATTAGTGTTCTCTGGAACATGCTTTGCATAATATTGATATAGTTACTTGCTTTGGGTTAGAGCCTCTGAAATGTTGAGCATTTTTTTTAAGGTTGGGCTTTGTTGCATTTTAGTCATAATAAGCTTTTGTTCATAATGAGGTTGACCCTTCAGCTTTTAAGCTGAAAGTAACTGACAGTGAACAAGGAAATTAATTTGCAAATTAGACTCTTGGGGAGAAATTTTGTTTGCTTTTTTTCCTTAGCAGTAGTCAAGTCCCTCAGAGTCTAAACAGCCTTCAGACCATTTTCGATTGAACACTACCAAGGGCAGCAAAGGTAAGAGGTTGGTACCAAAATAATCTTGGGGGATCTTTTCAGTGCAAAGAATTTGCAAGATATATTTAAGGTGCTGTAAGACATGTAAAGTGGGTAGCAGAGGAGGCAGCCACTCCTTACTTAGTGTTAGTCATTGTTGCTAATATTCAGCATGATGGGATTCAACATGTAGTTGTTATTTGATTACTGGTGTGTGTGCACACGTGTGGTGTGTGTGCACAAGTGTGTTGCAACTAGCAAAGATTGCAAGAACATTTAATCTGTGCTAGATCTGTTCAGAACAAGCAACTGTTGTGCGATGGTTTCACTCATTAGTGCTTGAATGTGCCCTGATAATGGAGAAGGAAGCTCATGAAAGTTCAGCACTGTTCCTTTGGTACAGCTTGTCTAGGCTTCACCATGACGTACTTGTTCATTTAGCTCTTCGGCTGCACATGTATAAAGCTATTGTAAGTTATTTCTGAATGATGGAAACTTTATTTGGCACCAGTAGGTCATCTAGTGCTTTGCACGCTCCACAAGACTGCCATTCAGCAATATCCAAGAAGGAAGGGGCGGGTCTGTTTTCCCTTTGGTTTGGTACCCTTTGCCTCCTCATTTAAATGCCCCTCCTCTTTTCCTGTGTCCCTTTCCTAATGACTTGATCATTGGACTGGTTTCCCAATCCTTTGTCTACCTGGAAGGATTCAGCTAGTGGTTTTTTTTTATTATTATTCATGGAATATTTTGTAAGTTTTCATTCAAACTATCCTTGGTAGTTATTCAACATGTAATTCACTTACTGGCTTTGTCCATGTGTGAGACTTCATCTGATTTATTGGATAATCTTTGCTCTCCTTGTAACGTGATTTTGGGCTCACATGTGAGTTTTCAGGAGGAAGCAGGAGTGGGAGAAGTGGAAGAGACTTGAAACAGAATTTCATTTCCACATAGTTCACGTAGATGGTGTGTTCTTCCGTTGGTTTTCTTCTGGCCTCTGTGAGCTATGGCTCTTTCCATGCCGCCAGATCTGTGCAGTGAAAACTGCCCAGTGCCAGAGCAGGTTCTAACTAGCTAACTGACTAAGAACAAGGCATTTGACATTTCTGGATCTCAGTTTCCTCGTTTGTAAAAGGAAGAGGTTAGATCAAGCTGTTTTAATCTCACCTAAGATGATATTCTACCATTGTCATATACCGACAATAAAAATACAAGATATGAGCTTGTACTGTTACTTCCTGTAAAAAAAAACATTAATAACAAAACTTGGCGCCTATTTATATTAACTTTACTTAGCAACAGAGGATGATAGCCTCTGAATCACTGAAAACCACTGAACTAATGTGCAATTGTAACCCAAATTAGTCACATTTGTTCTTAACAATTATCTTGCCCCCTTGCCCATTTTAAGCTGCTGTGATCATTTTTTTTTGCTAGCACTTTGGGGGGAAAAATGACTTTTTGCATGTTTTTAATTATGGAAAGGTTATTCTAGCAAATGTGATTTAATTGAAATGAGAATTTGTGCCAACTATTTTAAATAAACACAGTATTCTTCTGCTCCTGTGAAAGGGGCTGCTATTTGCTGCCTCATTCCTCCACTAATACACTGGCTCGCCTGCTTAGCTTGAACCTGAGCGTGTGCGAGTTGTTCTTAACCAAAGCAGTTCCCTTTTCACATAAGTAGGTTAAATGCGAAATGGACAGCCTCGGGGTGCTTTTTTGTTCGCTTTTAAAAAAAAAAAAGCCCCTCCAGAGGGCCCCTTTTAAAAACCCAGAATCATATGTTTGGAAGATTGATCCAGATTAACATCAGAATGGCCCTTTCATTTAAAATTATACAGACTATTTAAAATATGTTAAATTGACATTGATTGAAATAAAACCGAAGATGGGAAGTAGCATTTCTTGTTTTACTCCACTCTGAGGATGAAAGAAGTGAAATCAGAAAAAATGCGGAGCCTCTGCTGAGGTGCCATTCCTGCCTCTGAACTAAGGGGGGAAATGTCTTTGCACAGAAGGTACAAATTAGTGCCATTTATTTTCTTGTGACTCTATGTGCTGTAGGATCACGTAAGCTGCTCAGGAGCCTTATATGTTTTGACTTTCTGAGAGTCTTGTTTATTTGTGTTGAAAGGAGTGTTAACAGATTTCTAGGATTTGGTTTTAAATTATCAGCTCTTCCTCACAGATAGCAGTGTTGAGGAAATACCCTAACATGTTTTTTCAGTTGTAAGTTTGTAAAAAAAAAAATGTATAGAATTAAGATAATATAAACACTTTAATTTCTTCGGTAGTGGGGTCTGAGCCTTAAATATAGGTGAAATTGCTTAAACTGTCTTTTTGAAATAAGCTGGGAACAGGAGGACTGCAAATTATGCGTTTGCTATAATTCGGGGCTATACAATAACCCAGGTCCCTAAAGGTCTCCCAAGAATGACAGAGAAGCCATGATTTCCAGACAAGTGCATTATATATGCTAATAGCTTTGCAGCAAGGAAGGTCTCTATCCTTGTAAGGGAGGAAACATTCATTTTTAGCATCTCATACCACAGGGAATGTAGTAATTACAACAGCAGTGATAGCTGCCTTCTTTCTCCCCTTGCCCTCACCTCCTCCATCCAAGCTCTTGGATGACCCCTGTGGAATTAGTCAAAGGACTTGAAACCTATATCATTTCCAAAGGCTTTTATTCTCTAGTACTTCCAGCATGACACTGCTCCTCCAGGAGTGTGTAGCCCTGCCATGCTTCATCGTAGCAGAAAGAATGAGGACTGTATTGCTTTGGTTAAATATGGCTGTGGAGATCTCCACTTCCCTACATTCTAGCGATAATGTTTAGAAACACAGAATCGAAATGCTCCTTCGCAGTTGAGGTGAAGTCTAAAGCCACACTGCCGACAAATGGTGCCGCCTTAATCACGTAATCCGTCCTTAGTCAGAAAGGTCTGACCAGCAGCCGATGGTCTGTAGTGGAATAATTTTGCACATTTTAGTGCTGTGTGAGCCTCACACGAATAACCAGTTCATTAGCAGTTGATTTGTGGGGTTTTAAATTTGCTATTTACCTATGTGGGGATCGGTTAACTAGCAAATCCTCTCATGTATAAGTGTTTTGTTGTTTGTGTAACTTGAGATTCTTAAGGAATCTGCATGTTTAATTTTTAGGTCCATTATGGCGAGAGGGGCTGAGCCTGCTTTCAGGAGCCAGAGACCTGCAATGAATGTCAGCTAAAAATGTGCATCTTAATACCAAAAATGCCTTTCTCCAGAATTTGTAAAGCTTATTTGTACTCAAGCCAACAGATAGAAAAATATAGCCTATACTTCTACCTCCCCAACCCTTACTTTGAAATACGTGTATGGTTTTAATTCATTTTAAAGGTTCTCCATCAGATTGGTTAGAAAAGTTAATGTATGTTACCAGGAAAAAAAAAAATGTTTGACACAGAACTTGCTAGATCAGGGTGTTCTCTTTGATTCTATGACTTTTTCTTTGATTTTCCTCTCACTACCCATCTCTTTTGCAAACTGATCTTGTAGTTGTTGGGGAAGCATGAGTGTCTGGATGTGGTCTCCACTTGTCTAGTCAAGAGTAATAGACTGAGGAGTTTTGTTACTGTTTTAACCACTTAGCAATGCTGAAAACTACACAGGTTCTTGATTTTTTAAATCGAGAAGACGGCCTGTCCACAGTGACCCTGTAAGTTGCCTGGGCAGAACAGCTAACAGGAACCACCATGAAAGCAAGCCCACACTTTGAAGCAGAGCCCTCTCCTTTACGCTCCCGTAGCCTCTGAACTCAATCCACTTTTATTTATTGACCCCCTAATTATGAAAGCATTTTGCTTCTTTTCTTTTTCTTTTATCCCCCCCCCACTTTTTTTTTTACCTTTTTGACAGAGTTCTCACTATGTTACCCCTACTGTGCCAGAACTTACTGTGTAGACCAGGTGAGCTTGAACTCACAAAAGCCTCCCTTCCTCTCTCACCAAAAGTGTTGGGGTTAGAGATGTATTCCTAGCCTAATTATTATGCTTTCCTGAGTAAGTTTCTCTCAAGACACTATCCTGCACCTGGTCTGAATGTTACTCCTGAAGCCAATTTATTAGGCCCGTTCTCCCCAGCTCCTTGGCGGGACTTACTGGGTCCCTCTTCCTTTTCACGCTTCTTCCCACTGCTTGCTGTCGCCCACTTCCTCTCATTGTGTAGCGTTTTCGTTGTCAGCTTCGACGTTGCCTCTGCTTGGCTTTAGCGTTTGTTAACAGCCTTATACATGGTACACAAACACTGAGCCTTTGAGCCGTATTCCCAGCCCATCTTCTTCACTTTAAATCTTAAAGGGAAATATCTTCGTCATATCTGAAATCTCCCAGTTTTCTCAAGACATTTGGTGAGAATATTTGCATCATTGGAACTCAATATCGGTGGCTGAATGAGGTGAAATAGATGGGCATGTGTGTGTGACTGAGCCAGAATCAGGAAGAGGAGAAGGAAATGCAATCTGACAGAGGCCAGGGGGTTCCACTGCAATGGTGGCATGCACTTTCTCCTTGACTTGGATAGAAGTTTTGACAGAAACTTTTCCCTCTATTGAAGGAGGGTCCATTGTAAGCAGGACAGACATTTTCTGGGCTTGGAGAAATATTGTTGCCCTGGGGCCACCTACTTGACTGCTTATTTAGGAAGTATTCATTTAAGCAAGATTTTGAATTAATAAGACGGAGAGCAAATATTGGAGCAAAATTTACAAGACACCTGAAATAAGAAAATAAAACCAGAGTCTGTGAAACATAGAAATAGATTCGCTATTAGTTGACTGGCTGTTTAGCTAGCTTTCTCGGGTCCCCATGCAAGGCCCAGGCAGAAGATGGCCAGATGAGGATCTTTTTCTCTCTACTCTACATTCCTCTTCCTCAGTGACATTCAAAGGGTGGTAATTCCAGTCCGTCTTAGTTCTAGTGGTTTGGATTTGTATGCAAAGTATATGGTGTGAGGTGACCAAGAGCAAGGTGTGGTCTTCATCCCAAGAGTTGCTGACCTTATCAGGTCATTCGGCCTTGAACTATGAAACCAACGAGAGTAGAGACCAGGTGGGGTTTCACTAGTGGTGAGGGACTCTGAGGTAGGGGAAGGGAGGGGATTTTTGCACATAAACATTTTTAAAATCTTATTTAAATATTGGGGTTGAGGAAATTTCAGCCAGGGAGATCATCAAAGGCAGGAACTGCTGGGTCATTGCTAAACCATTACTGAACGTAATCTCTTAGAGATACAGTCTGAGTCTCTCTTCCCCGAGGCTAAATGAGATGCCTGTGGCCACTGCTGCTCATGAGGTCCCTTTATCAAATGCCTCCACCGCAGCAATCAGTACCGATTGCCTTGGTTGCGTTTATCGCCAGTGATCCTCACTGATTATTGAGAAGCGGAGGCACTCGCCATTGATCAAACCTCGACCTAGTCATTTCAGAGCAAGTTTTTATGCACAGATAGGCACATTCACACTCCAACACAGATTTAGTTTGCAATTTTGAAAAAAAAATACTTCTGTTTTCATCTTCTATTTTTTGCATTGTTGACAATTTACCGTTCTTACTGTGTAATCTCTGGGTGATTTCCTGTAATCTTTGCTGACTCATTTCTCAGTAAATCCAAAAAGATGCAGCAGCTTTATGGAAGGTTTTAGGTAGATTCACAAAGTAGAAGAGTACTCAGCACAAAAATCCTATTGCGTTTTTTTCAATTAGCTATTTTTTCTTACAATAGGAGAGATGATCTCTAGCTACTTGGGTGGTTCTGAATACTTAGATTCATCATTAATATTCATCATCAATAACATAAAATATGGGGAATGACAAGTAAGATGCAATTGATAGCTTCCTGTTAAGCTAGGGGTTTCAGACTTCTTTCTTTACTGATAACTGTGGATAGTGGAATTTTCTAAGGGGTGACGTTGCCAAGGAGATTGATTACATAGCATGTCAATTGCTTCAAACATGGTAGCAGTCCTCAAAAACATTTCCTTTCTATGTTATCATCACCACACAAAGTGCTAATAATATTGAGAACAATGGCAGACTTGGGAGCTGGAGAGACAAGAACAGGAAAAAAAAATTAGGATAAGTAAGTCTATGGAGCCTGGCATGAGAACTCCATAGACAGAGACCCAATTTTGCTTAGACTTTAGGAAATGAAACCCTGGGTTGCTGCTTAGTATAAAAACAGTGGTCGTGCGACCTGAGAGAAACTTTTCAGGGCAATATATCAATACTGTGGGCAATAGCTACCCGGATTTAGAGTTGTGTCAAAGAACAAATGTGTTTTTAAATTTGTTGCTTTATGGGGAAGAAGCAGAACTGTGGTAGACCAAGGGAAATCATAAAGGGTTGGGACGTGGACCCGGGACTCATTTTCTACAAACATCTAGATGATTCTCCTTCTTAGAAGGTGCTTTATGGTGTGGCACTCGGTGGAGCTTAAATTTGGGCTTCCCCACGCTGGTGTGAACTGTCTTCTCTTCTCACTTCTGGCCCAAATATCCCAAGTTCCTCGTGAAACAATGCCACGGAACGGCAGCAAACGTGCGCTGTGTCGCCCTGCATGGAAGGGAAGCCAAGAGGGAACGGTTTCGCTAACTCTTTGCCAAGGTCAACTTTCCCGATTTCCTAAGAGTAATGTGTTTTGCTTGACAAATAACGGAATCCTTCTGCCCTGAAATATGGGCAGCCGATACGGAATTCTGGTCTTGAATAATGATATAAACCCGTGTGATCTTGTGTGACAGTAGCTCTGAGTATGGACGTTTACGAAACAGTGTTAGCATTGATGTTGTTCGAGGAGAACCGTGCGTTACCAGTGGTTCTCTTCAGCTTCCATTCAGCGTCTTTGCTAACTACGTGGCCTCTCCCCATAATGTCATTTCAAAACAGGGAAAGGTTTCTTCTCTCCCCGTCAGCTAGCTGCTTGTTTCCCAGCGCTAAGGCAGGGGGTGCAAATGCTCCTTAGTTGAGCATTAAAGAGCTCCACTTGCTTTGGCTCCTAGAAAGGAATTGTGGAAATTTGCTGTGGAAAAATAAGAATGGGAAGCTATGCTGTTTTCTGGTACTTTGTTGTTGCTGTTGTTGTTTGGGGGAAACCATTGCCTTGTTGGTTTTAGTTCGTTCTGTTTTGTTTCGGTGCTAGTGGTCTACCTGGGGGCCTTGCCTGGCTAGGCAGGTGCTATCACCCAGCTACATCCTTCACAAGGAAGATAATCACCTCCACTGTCACCTGGCCCCTACTTACATTTTCATTGGTGCCAAGTGTTGGTTTCAAACACCGCTCGCCTCTTCTCTAAGATGAACAACGGAACTGCCCTGTCCCTCTCGTACCAAGATGAATCCAGACCTTTCCTACTGTGAAAGAAGGCTTGATTGTTTTGGTTTCTCTACGAAATTTCTAAGAATTTGCTTAGTCCTTGGTCATCAAGGTATGCTTGACCAGTAGGGCAGAAAGACAGCACTAGGTATCTTAGAGATACCCTCAACTCTGTTAAAAAAATTTTTTATCAAGGGCCGAGACAGCAGTTCAACTGATAAGTGTTTGTCTTGAAACCACGAGGATCTGAGTTTGATCCCAGGACCCTGGTAAGGAAAATGGATATTATAGTGTTCATTGTTATCTCAGTATTTGGGAGATAGAGAAAAACAAATCTCTGGAGTTTGCTGGGCAGCTGTTGTAGCCTCATTGGTGAGATGCAGACCAATAGGAGACCCTGTCTCTGTCTTGGAAAACAAGGTTGATAATGACCTCTGGCCTTCATACACATGTACACATGCCACCCACCTCACCCCTCATATACACAAGAAAACTTGGACCTTTTTAATGAACACTAAAGTAAAAAGGCTGAGCATTGTGGTGCAGTTTTAATTACCAGCAGTTAGAAGGCAAGGGGATCATAAATTCAACTCCCCTTTGGACCACAGAGTGGGTTCAAGGCCAGGCTGGATAATATAGTGAAGGTCCCATCTCAAGGTAAAAGTTAAAGGACTGGGGATCTAGCTCAGTGATGCATGCTTGTCTGCTTTCTGTCCATTATAAACAGATGACAGAAGTCTCCAGGTACAGGATGCTCTTGTTAGGAAGCAGCCATTCAGGCCAGGTCAATGGAGAGAGCGGTGCATGGGTGCATGCATACCTCCTTCTGGAAGGATTTCATTACAGAATCAATCACAAAAATCAGTGAGTGATTTTGACTTGGGGTTAGGGGAGAATTCCCACTAATTTCTGAAATAGACTTAAATACACCTTGGCCATTTTGCAATGCCTACATTGTAGTGGCATGCTCAGCTCTGGTGATTATAAAATCAAAACCCTGATTGGCTCCAAAACCCATTAAAGATGCTCCACATTCTACAATACCAAAAACTCAGTCAAGGGTTTGCTGTTGTTGTTTTCTCCGTGTGTTATGGTTATCTGTCTTTGTCAGTATGTGCATTTTATGTGCAGGGTAGCTAGATGTGCACATGAGTATGGAGGCCAAAGGTCAATGGAAAGTTTCTTCCTTTCTTACTCTCCTCTATGAGAAGTGTGTCTCGTTGAACTGGGAGTTCAGCAGTTTGACCAGGCTGGCTGGCCACTGAGCTCCTGCAATCTTCCTGTCTCCAGCCCCTCCAGATCCGCGGTTACAGACTTATGGCACTGCCCTCTGCTCCTATGGCATGTTGGGTATCAGAACTCGGGTATTCATGCCCGGTGCAGCAGGCTTTTAACAGGCCGAGTGAACTGTTCAGCGAAGGCTTATTTCTTTAAAAAAATAGTTGTATTGAAAACTGTGTGGGTGTGCATGTGTCAAGTCTAGCAAAAGGTGCCAGATCCCCTAGAGCTGGAAATACAGAAAATTATAAACCTACCGATGTGGGTGCTAGATACCAATCTCAGGTCCTCTCCAAGAGCAGCACAGGCTTTTAGTTGCTGAGCCGTCTCTCCAGCCTCCCAGGATTTAACTCTACCTAGCAGTAATCCAGCATTTCCATCTCACTAGAAGGCAGGGACTGTTTCATCATTCATCAGCAGAACTCTGTGCGCATCGATGGGCTGTTCTAAAGTAAATACGCGACTTCTTATCAGTAAATGTTTAACCTCTGTACCTATTTTATACCTTCATGGACTCACGTTCATGGAAAGTTTCTTCAGTAACAGGTGCCATGACCAAAGAGAGACCCGATCGCTGAAAGGTGTTTCTTGCCACAGGAAAGCTCTTCTCCAAGCTTGGCTCTCGGATAGATGGGTCCCCAGGAGAAGGCTGCCCTGGCGTCCAACTACCAGTGCCACTTGCAGCAGCCCTGGGACATGCTGATCCTCTCAGCGCACCCACGGAGGGTGAACTTGGCTGACCTGAGATGGTGCGCTCAGCTGCTCAATCACTGTTTTTCTGGTGTGGAAAAAAAACTGGAATCTGTGAACTCAGATATTCTTTCCTGTGTAAAACTTTTTGTTTTATAAAAGCCCAGGGATGATGTATTTCCTGGCATATGTCAGTCAAGACATGAAAAACAGGCATAATCATACACAATCCTGCCCACAAAGAGTTTTATTAATGCTCATCTACAGCATAGACGTTGTATCCCCTGGAGTGGAGAGTAAGCTGTAGGTGTGTGTTCTAGAACATTCTGTGGGTCCTGCGCAGTGACAGGTTCCTTCTGCTTGTGACTCACAGAGCTAGGGATGTTGGGAGCGTTCTGTGTGAACTCTGCATCCAGCAGGGTGACACGCAGCACGGGAAAAAGATGGCTGCCTCTGGTCATCATTGTTATTGAAAAAGACAGTGTTCACAATGGTGGCAAGTGACAGGGACTTCAAGCTTCCACTTCCATGATTGAAGTCTTACACAGATCTGTTGGAGGAGGCCGCTTGTTTGGTTCCCGGCCGCCCGTCTCGGAGAAGTCGCTGCTTATTCAAGGAATACCTCATATTGCTTGTGGAAAATATGGAAACTGAACCTATAAAAATAAGCAATCTACCATGCAACGTGCATTGTGTTTCAGCATTTACATGTGTAATGTAAAAAAGCTTGTTTAAGTCCTCGTATGTGTATTGGTGCGCACATGAGTACTGTGTGAAGAGGCCAAGAGACAGGTGTTGGGGACAGAGAAACTGAGGCTCGTACACATGGTGAGGGGAGGGAGAGGGAGATTGAGAAGTCATTTATTGGTTATTTATTCATTCAGACTAGGTTCTAGAGTGCCACAGTTTCCTTTTTAACAAGCTATTCAATGCCTCTTAGCCTCAGGTGTGTGTTGTGAGCAATCAGTGAAACACTAGGCAATCATCCTATTCCGGGTGTGCCAGATACTGTTTTCCACATTTTTTCACACACGACCCCTTCTCTTACCTACAGTCCATTTGTACATTGTGTACTATGAAGCACCTCCCCTCATGTGTGAGTAGTGCTTGCAGAGAGAGCTCACTGTAGGGCCAGATGCTAGATATCTGTATGGAATTATTTTTACAAGATAGCTGACTAGAAATAGCGAGTTTTATGTGGCAGTTTTCATTTTATGTTTAAAACTGCCTCTGAATTTTTAAAAGTAAGAAATTAGTGTTTAACATCTTCACTTACAAATGACTCCATCTTTCCCTCCTTTCCCTATGAGGTAGCATTCAGGGCCTATGGTTTTCTCAGGCTAGGACTGACGATGTGTGTATCTTCTGTCCTTGGCATCCCACTAACTTCTGTATAGGTGTGCAGACCTTCTCTACTCTCCCAGGATGGCCGATTGAACTGGGGAGTTTTGCCTGGTTCCCGACAGACACCTGGCTCTCACTTTTTCCTGGTTGCTCCTTGCTGGGAATATACAGTAGCATGCATGTTCGTCTTTCTGTTCAGAAGACATTTTCAGAACCAGCAGAGTGTGGCTTTCCTATTGGAACAGCAGGGTCCGGATTTCTGCAGTGGTGTGCAGGTCCTTCATATAATGACTGACGTGTGACAGGACTTTGTTTTTCTTGGCTCTCCACAAAATGCACATTAGTTTTAAGGCAGGAAATAGCAGGATAGGAAAATTCTGGAAGAGCATTTTTCTCATCAGAGATGGAAGTAGACAGTCACAGGCCTTCAGTCCTAGCGACACTGAGAATCCAGCGTAACAGAGCTTCAGTCGCAGACATTTTGCTCTCCAGTCTTCTCATCGCTTCTGTGTAATGGGGTTGAGATGACTTGGGGGGTCACTGGTTTTGGGGAACTCTTAAAATTACTCATTTTCACTAACAGCCATGCGCTGTCTGGTAGGTGAACTGCAGATGAGTTCAGGTTATCACTCTGCAGTAACTTCAAGCATCTTAAAGAATTCTGAGGGCTCGCCAGGAGGTTTCTGCTGGGGGGTTAGGGAGATGACATGGCCTCCTGCCCCTTTGGATGTTGCTGCCTGTAGGCGGGTTAGAGTTGCAGCCTGGTGATTAGCAAACCAGGGAGTTCTAAATACAGAGCCAGCCTGTTGGTTGGGGAAAGCACAGCTCTGTGGAGCTGTGTGGTACATTTAGGAAGGCCTTCTGCCCTGTGAAATTACAGCCCTTCCTGATGCAGTGCTTTTACTTTTTACCGTAGAATATTTGACCCTCCCACAGATTCAGTTTGACCATGGTGTGAAGTAGGACTATTACACACGCCCCTCTCCCCGCCCCCCAGTGGCACCTTTATGGAGAGTAAAATTTCCCATCCAGAGGCGACTCCGCTTCTCCTTTTCTTCCTTTGGTTGTAGGCTCAAAAACTCATTCCCCCACCTTAGCTGAGTAGAAATCCTCGCCTTCTAGTCAGGACCTTTCTCTTTAGCTAGAACTCAGCGTTTGCGAGATGTTAACAGGTGAAACCGAAGAGACAATGCACACTTGGGAGACGCTGGCCTTTCCTTGTCAGCCCAGGCATGAGAAAACGTTGCCTTTGAGAGGCCATACAGTAAAGAGCCTTCCTTGAGTCACCTCAGGCTGGTGGGGATCCAAGGGTAGGTTCCCATTGGTTTGCAAGAACTTGTCCCCTGGGGCCTTTTTGCACGGATCTGAGCAACTTTCTCCTTTTGATAGCGTAGCCAGCCTATTGCCAGCTTCAGCTGCAGAATGTAGTTCAAAGACAGACAGGCAACTGGGCCCATCAGCTCTGAGAAGGGAGCCTGGGAAAGTACAAGCTGAAAATGAAGGCAGCCGGCTTAGTCTCCTCCCCCATTCCTTCCCAACCTCTTCCCTTCCTTTCTATTTTCTTTTTGCTCTTTCTTCATTTTTTTTTTCATTCTCTGTTCTGCCTCATTCTTTTTCTGTCTGAGGTGTGGCAGCTCGCGGTATATGGCGGAGAACATTTGTGTAATTTATGAGACGGTGTACATTTAGAGGAATGTGTTTGGTTTGTGGTGAGGAAACTTCCTTTTTTAAAGTTATAATGGGCTAGCCTTTAAGAGCTTCTCAGAACTACCTTTTTTTTTTAATTGTTCCTGGAAGTGTTGCTAAATATATTTCTGAAACCATATATTTGTCTAATTAAGAGTTTTAATACCAAACCCTAAACTTTTCTTCCCGTATAATCATTGAGCGCTGACAATTGTAAGTTACACGATACAAATCACAGAGGCAGCTGGCAGCGCATGCTCAGATAGACAGTGAGGGCTAAGGAACGCAGGTCTGTTGTCTAGCATCTAGAAAACGGGAAGGGGCTTTGAACTTAATCTGCAAGTCAAAATGTTTGCTTTCTGCCAGAGGAAGGAGGATGAGCAAAGATCGAGATGATCCTCGTATGCTAATGATCGCTGTCCTCATTCCTATTCATGAATTGTTTATAATAGACTTGACTATAACATACATTATTTATTGGCATTATATTATAATCATGCGGTTAGTAATTAAAGTGTTTATCTATTGTGCACTTGTAGCTTTAACATGTGTTATTTTACTAGGCGTTTAGGGCGTTTGTCTTCTCGGATTGACCAGGAACACTGAGTGGAGGTTTTCAAGTTAGTTTAAGTGGTTGAACTCACCACTGGCCCATCATTCTTTGACCCCCTCCCCACCCCCACCCTGCCTCAAAATGGTTAAAACTCATCCTAGGCTTCAAAGGCAGAGATGGAATGTGGTGCTTCATGCAGTGGTCCCCAGTCTCCTTTCTGAAAACACAGATTCCATGGTTCTTTTTAAGCCGCAGAGTGACATTTCAATTTATGCAGAGCAGGCAAGAATACTGCTTGGTTTTGTATTACTATAATTCTAAGAAAATATTATATTAGAAAAATCATTAAGGAATCCTAATATTTTCCCTTTCAGTGGGATGCATGGAACATTTGAATATCTCAAAACTTATGATCAGGTCCAAGGTCTGAGGCACTCAGCACGTGTTCTCAATCCCATTTCCATACTGCCCCACATTTTCCAGATTCCGTCAGGAACGCAGTGAGTGCTGGGTCATAACTCTTCCCACAACCCTGTTTGAAATACATGACACTTACAGCAAAAACTGGTATAAAAACGTCAGTCTGGAACAGACAGCGCCGTAAAGAGGGCATTTCTGGATATCAGACAACTGAATTATTGGTCTTATAAAAGGAATGAAACAACAGTCAAGATTATGGTTTATGATTTCTTTCTGGTTGGAGCAGATCAATATATTTCTCAGACAGACCTAGTTTGATTCTAGAGGCAGTGCTATGTATGTGAATGTGCACGTACATACGTGTGTGCATGTGTGCCTGTGCATGTGTGTGTGCGTGTGCATGTGTGCATGTGTGTGTGTGCGTGTATCCATGTGAAAGAGAGAGACAGAAAGAGAAATAGAGACAGAGACACACACAGGGGAGAGACAGAGGGCAGAACAGACTGAGCAAATTGAGTATGTGTTCTGTAGATCTATTTGTCAGGGATTGGAGATCATTATAGTTCAATGGGAAATAACAAGTTTTCATTACAACACATTGAGAGACTGAAGCAGAGAAGGAAATCCTGGATTTTTGGAACCATAGCATTGTG